CCTAGCTCTGGTGAGGGATGGGACACGATCACCATTTCAAATCCCAGAGGGTGACCCATGGGAAGCTTTTAGGGGAGCTTCCCATAGGTTCCCAACCTTATTTGCCTGGTCACCTGACACAAGTGGCTATGGGTCTTGATAGTGTAGGTTGTAGTGGGTTGTATTTTCTGCTGTGTTAATACACAGCATTGCTGTGTCATGTTCTAAATGCATGGCACCAACTGAATGGAAGTTCACTTAGAGCAGAAACCTGGGAGAAAGAGGAGGCTCTCTACTTCCCAAAACAGTTACTGACCAGCAATGCTCAGGGGCAGTTCTACTCTGTTCTATATGATCGATATGAGTAGGAATTGCCTCAATGATAGTGAGTTAGTTGAGAAGGTATTTTGCATTATTCTTCTTCTCAAGAATTGTTTTCTTATTAACATAACCCAACCCACTGCCCTAAAGGCCAGAGCAAATAGTCCATTAGTCAACGCCCCGCTGACATTTAAACACTTCTGTAATGCAGCCCATCATCCAAGAGAGAGTGTGAGCATCTGCTTCTGCAGCACCCCCCGCCCCCAGCCCCGGATCATCCCAGCCCCCCTTAGGAGGCTGGAATCGCCTACTTTGGAAAATACTGTGTCTAGACTAAGACACACTGTGAAGAAAGGCTTGGTGTTTCACATTGCCCAAATGAGTCAAGTCAAATCGTATGAATCACAAGAGCATGCTCGTGCTGAAAGCGGAGAGAAGGGGAGTGATTGCAGAGTAGCTGCAGTAATGGAGTCAAACATTCCGTTGGACCAGGAGGTGGCCCAAGACACAGCGTTTCCTCCTGATGTAAATGATGTCACCATGCATTGGCAGCGGACAGTCAAAACAGCACGTCTGACATACACTTGAAGCACCCTAGGTTCCAAAACCTCACGTCCCCAAGAGGAGTCCAACAATCCTACTGCTGCCCTGTCATGAGCCTTCTACAGTCAGCATCATTGCATGAGTTTCATGAGTCTGAAGAGGACTTCATAGATTGGTACCGGACATTTGGGCTAATATTGGCCTTATGGACTTGGTCTGGACTGGGCGGGGATGTTTTCTCAATCAATATTCAATTGCTCTTGTATATAAAGCTCTTTCTTATGCACATATGTGTGTCCATGGGTTTGTTTCTCTAGTCTTCCCAGACTCACACAAAGACACATGAGCAAACATGAGAACTGACCCCTACACTCGGCACCATCATGCACAGCTCCCTGCCCACAGGAAACATATCTTAGATGCACATAGCAATTTCAGAGATGACGGTGGGGGGAGGGGAGGCATGGAGAGAACAGGGAGTGGTTTTCTGAAACTATACAGGCTAGAGAGATTCCTCACCCTCTTTAGAGAGATGTCTGTACCTCCGTGGATTTTAAATGGACACAAAGAAGGCGGTAGGGGTAGGGAGGGCTTGAGCTGCCTGGTAAGGGGAAAGGCCAGGCCTTGGGGCAGTGAGCCCAGCTCTGCCGGCAAGGCATGGAGGTCCCCATCCTGCAGCCAGATTAGCTCTGAGGAGGCAATTCCGGCTCTTGGGCCATCTGCTCCAGGCTGTGAAGCAGTAGGAGGTGGAGGAGAACCCCTGCCTGGACACCAGGGAGGACCCCGGCCACAAGCCAATCTGCTGGAAATCACCCCTTAAGATCCCTGAGCAATGACTCAGGTAGGTCATGGCCAAGTGCACGCTTGTTATTGATGCGTTGGCAGCCAGGCCTGGGCAGTGGTGCTGCACAGAGAGCGGAACTGTGGACGTGGAGGGAGCAGGCTGCCTCAGTGGGGCATGCATGGTGAATGCCAGGCCAGGAGATGGTAAGGAAGGCCAGCCAGCTTCAGAGAGAGCAAGAGGAGAGGCAGACAGAAAGACAGACAAAAAGAGATGCACAAAGAGGGAGAGAGACACAACTCACACACAGAGGAAGAGACAGATACACAGAGAGAGAGCTTGTCCCCTGGGAAGATGGAGGTGAAAATGTTACCCTGTAATGGGGTGCTTCCTCTCCCATCTGAGGTGGGTCTACTTACATTGTTGTACGTGTGTGAGCCCAGCATATAACCCACTCCAGGATTCAATTTGCTAGACCTTAGAAATGAGCGTGGAGAGATGGCCTTTCAAGTACTTTGGGCATGCTCTCGGGCAGGAACAGTCCTGGAGAAGTACCCCATGCCTGGTAGCGTAGAGGGTTAGTGACAAAGAGGAAGACCCTCACCAAGATGGACTGACACAGGGGCTGAAACAGCGGGCCCGGTCACAGGCCGGATTGGGAGGGAGGCACAGGGCTGGGCGGTGCTTCATTCTGTTGTACATTAGGGTTACCATGAGTCCAACCGACTGGGTGGCACCTACCACTATTCACAGTGTGGCTAATTTTATTCCCTCCAAGATGCGATCTTATAATTTTATCAAGGAATTCAGAGCCCAATGTCTGCCTGTCTATTATCATATCCCCAGCACCCAGCAAGCACACTGTGCAGTCATCTCCCTGTAGCTCTTGGTTAAAGAAGGGAGGGAGGCAGGGAGAAAGAACAGGATGACCAGGATAAGGATGTCAAACCTTGCTACAGTGTGCAAACTGAGCTGAAATGTACCAAGGCACATTCTTTCTTTTCTTTTCTTTTCTTTTCCGGATCATGGCTCCTCCTTAAACTGTATGTCTGCGCTCCAACGGGTCCCTTTGGAAGAAGTAAAGCAGGGATTGGCAGTCCGACTTTGGAAGCAGGAAACACACCTGGATTTTCTGACACCAACACTAACGTGGCTATGTTGAAACAGAGCGAGACCAAGCAGTTGATTCCTACCAAATGCCACCATCTTCCTCCAGAGCAGATCCCCGCTGGGCAGCTCTGTCCTTGAAGAAATCCCGTGAAGGACAGAGTGGTTTTATAACCAGTGATGGACTGCATTTCACTCTGGGTCAAGTGGCCCCATCACCCAGCAAATGGTCAACAGAAATGCCAGATCACCTGCCTTTGGGCAAACTCCTAGAATGGATCCATTTCAGTCTACCGGAAGTGGCCCGATGGCCCGGAAGTTGATTGAGGCGCACTGTCTTCCCCAGTGGTCCACCCTCACGGCAGCCATGAAACCTACTAGGCACATGAAGACTGGGCGGTAGTTCTCCCTTCATTATCCCCAGGGAGGAGTATTTCCTCGCTGTCCTTTCTAATTAGAAGAAAAGAGAAGATTGGATATTTGCCCACTGATCTGGGGCAGTAAATTCCTATCCCCTTTCATTTCTGGTTCCCCCTCCACCTTGGATGGCATTTGTAGATATGGAAGGACCATATCCTTAGACAAATTAACACTCATCCCTTCACAATGCTACATTAATTATCTCAGGGAAAAGGGTCTCCCCTAGCTTAGAAACATCAGCCCCAGTCCAGGGCTGGCTCCCAAAGTCATATCACACTACGAAAACACACAATCTGAACCATCTTCCCTGCCAATGCCCTCCTCCCACCCTCTTTCCATCACCAGCCCCCACCCAGACCTAAATGAGCACAATAAGGATTGATAGTGGAAAAGATAAAGTAATGGGAAGATTTAACATCACACCAAACAGATATCAAGAGACTAGGTGCCAAACAGCACCCCCCACGCTATCTACCCACTATCCTTTTCACTTACACAGCCTAGCAGTTTTCAGGAAAAGTTGCAGCCCAAACTTCAAAGGCATCGAAAGATAGAAGTGGTATGGAGGTAATTAGACCCGGGATTTTCTTTATTATAAGGAACAAAAGCCTTGGGTCTAAGCGCCCGTAGGATCAGGCAGCTCTAGTTGAGCAGGGTAATGCTAAGGCGCTTCAAGCTGCCATCAGCAAGCCCATCAACTTTTTATTCTTCCTGGCTCCACCCTGTCCTCCTCTCCACTTGCAAATGCAAACTCCCAGGTACTCAGGTATGGGGAGTGCAGGCTCTACCAAGAGGCTGGAAAGAATTCTCTTTGACGAGCCTGGATCTCCATGGCTTCCAGGTCTACCAGCTACTTCATGGTCTGGAGGGTATGAGATGTACCCACTCTCTCCTCCCACCACCCACAAGCCAGCTGTGACCCCCAGGATGAAAGCAACACCATAAAACATAAAACAAACAACCAAACAACCAAACTATGTCCTTAAATGTGAACCTTTTAATGTGCAGTATTTACGGCCCCATTACGGCAGGACTCAATCCTACAACAAGTAGTTCGTGGATAGAACAACTTCAGATAAGAGCTGAGGTTTGATGGAAAAGCTGGGTACCACTGCCAGCCAGCCTCCGCCCTCCAAGGGGCGTGCACGGGACCATGCACACGAGTTGTGGAGGGCAGGGGGCGCGGACCAAATTCTGCTGGCTTCACCAAAAAGAAGGTCCTTGTGTCCACGAGAAAGGCAGCCAGCAGAAAGTGCTTAGTTGCGGAAAACAAAACAAAACAACAACAGCAAATGACATTTCTGAAATGGACCTCAGCCTCTCAATAGGATGGGATTTCTTTCTCTGGTGACCAAGGTGCATCATGCATTGTGCTCACACACCCCGAGAAACCCGAGGGGCTTCAGAACGTTTGTGAGGGGAAATGGAAGTTTTGTAAGCCTTCCTGGCTAATGGGGTCATGAACTAGTCCAGGTGATTTTCCACCTGGCACAGTTAAGGGTGAGCTGGGGAGGGAGCAGCGGGGGACAGGGTGGGGGGCAGGCAGGCATCAGATTCCTTGTTGAGAACACCTTGTTGAGCAATAGGAAAACCAAGTCAAACCCCACCAACAACAAAGTGTCACCTTCGCACAGTGGTGATGGGCTTACACTCATGGAGATAAGGGTTTCCAGAGTCCATGAGCACAGGCCCACCTGGGAACCTTCTGCAGCAGAGCAGAAGGGAAAGGGGTCGAGCCGACAGCTGAGTTTGTGGGGAAGCTCAAAACTGCCCCATCTGGGGACCGCGATCAAAGACTCAGAAACATTTATGGCACAGAGGAGCGAAACCGGGCGTGGGGGCCACTTACTGAATGTGAAGTCCGATCAAGGAAGCCGTAAGCTCCACTGGCATGAGTTCTCTGGGCCGTCTCCTAGGGAAGCAGAGAAGAGACGGATTTAGTGTCGTGTCAGACAAAGTTTTCCTCTATTGTGCCACAGCACTTTCCTCTGTCTAACGGGAGTCCTTGCCAGAAGTAGACCCGGAATCACTCATGGCAACACCACGTGTGTATCAGGGGACAGCTGCTCTCTGTAGGGTTTTTGGTGGCTGCCTTTTGCATACGTAGATCACCAGGCCTTTCCTCCAAGCCACCTCTGGGTAGACTCAACTCTGCCACCTTTGGGTTAGCAAGAAGTATGTGAACCTTTGCATTCTATCACCTTGATAGCTGTTGTGTTGCTGCATAGAGTCTGGAATTGAAGCCCCAATTATGGGGGAGATGAGGAGGATGAAAAGGCAGACGGTGGCATCCTTAAATATATTCTCATGGAACCCTTTCCCTCCCCAGTTGACAAAACACACAAACACCAAAGCCAAGACCATGGGGTTGACTCTGAGTCATAGTAACCCTACATAATAGCCCTGACCCGTCGGAAGCCCCACTCTTTACAGGTGCAGTAAAGGGGCGGGTGAGTTTGAACGGCAAGTGTTACAGCTGACCCCACAGAGCCACTCAGACTCCTTCCACTCCCTCCTAAGGACATTGAATTGTTTCCCTCTGCTTTACGGAAGAGGTAGCATGGGCTGCTGGTTTCCCAGGAAACACAGGGTGGGGTTTGGATTTGAACTCAGGCAGCTGGAAAGGAAACTCACATCCCTCTGGTGGGAAGTGGGTGCTCTGCTGAGAGTTGCATGCAAGGAATGGCTGGAGATGACAGTGTGGCTTTCACCACCGCACGGAGTTAAGGTGAACCGCATGGGACCTACATTTGCTTCTGGCTCCCGGAAGCTGGGATGCCAGAATGCTCAATTCCATGGCAACCACAGTGACCGGATTTGGCAATGAATGGGAAGGTGATACCAGGCGTCCTGTCAACAGGATACATGTCACAAACAAGGGTCTCTTCACCCAGTCAGAAGGAGCCAGAACCATGCTCTTTAATATGTCGATGAACCAAGAGTAATCTGAAGTGTGGGGGACTCGCTGGTCATTAGAGGCCCATATTCTTCAGTGCGTTGATAGGGTCTCCCGCCAGAACAACTTAGGATTCCCCAACAGATCTGGAACGCATGTAAGGAGCCCTAAGGGGCTACAGGTGGGCAGTGACTTCCAAAAAAGAAGTTTACCTAGAAGAGATGGGATCTGTTCCAGGATTCTAGACCCTTGACCCAGAGTTCTTTCAGGGACCCTTGGAAGGTAGCTGATATCATTCATGGCCAGAGTTGAGGCACCAGTTAAAAAATGTCCAAGTTCAATTATAAATATGATTTGAAGATAAGGAGCCCTGGTGGTGTAGTGGCTATGTGTTGGACTGCCAACCTCAGGGTCTGCAGTTCAAATCCAGCAACCACTGACATGGGAGAAAGAAAGGATCCCTACTCCTGTGAAGAACATCACAGAGGCAGTTCGACTCTGTCCTACAGAGTCACTATGAGTTGGCATCGACTTCATCCCTGAATCAATCTATTCATCCATCCATTCATTCTATACATCCATCCCTCTATCTCTCCATCCGTCCATCTATCAGCTTTCTTTATATCCATCCATTCATTGTTCCTCCATCCTTGTATCCCAACATCCCCCCCTCCCCCCCCTCCATCTCACCCATTCAAGGCTCTGCTACCTGCTCGCTCTGTGACACGGAACAAATCCTTTAACTTTTTCAAGCCTAAGTTAGTTTCTGCAAGTGTTTCGTTGTTGTCACTGCTAAAACCTTGTGTTTTCTGTAATAAAAGGCATTTAAATGGAGAAACATTAAAACTGACCTCTATGGGTTTTCAGCCAATTAGTGGGACCCACGGGTACTGAGTGAGTCTCTGACAATGGGTTTGGTAGGTTGAGATTCAGATTCCCACAGCACGGCAGACCCCCACCAGATGGCAGCAGGTACCACGGGGTGGGGGGTGGGGGTGACATCTGCTTCCCACTGCTGCCCAACGCTCGCCCACTCTTAGGAGACTCAGGAACCCAGCAGGTAGATCTGCCCACTAGTATCCCCCAGGCCACCAATCATTCTTTCCCAGAGTAGCTAGTAGATTCGAACTACTGACCCTGAGCCTAACAGCCCAAGTCATAAGCCACTACAGCACCACATCCAGTCACCGCATCAACATCGTAGCAACCCTGCAGGTTCCTGTGGCTGTAATGCTTTAAGGAAGTAGAAAGCCTCGTCTTTCTCCCTCAGAGCGGCTGGTGGTTTCAAACTGCTGACTGTTGTAACCCACTAAACCTCAGAGGTGGGGACCCTAGGTGGTGACCTTTCGCCCACAAGTCACAGGAGTTTGCTTTGGGTTCAGCTGCTAAGGGCACTGATTGCTAGGTCTTTTTTCTCTGTTGGAGCCACTGTGTGCATGAGTCACCCAGGCGCCATTTGATCAGAACGACTCCCCTGGGTTGTGTCTTTAGGGATGAAATGCAATGGTGCCTGCGACTGACTCTCCAGCTTGCATTTAGCTCGCCATGTCTTTTACCCGCACTAAACAGCCATTAGTCTACCCACTGCCCGTGATGTGATTGCTCTCGCAGCCCACAGGAGCTCAAGGACAGGGCCGGTGGTGCTCCGAGCAAGACTTCCTCCCCGTCTCCTCCTAGAGAGAAGGAAGCGGACTTCTCCCCACCCCCAACCCCCCCAACGTTCCCAGGGACCTCTGAGAACCTAAAGATGTGACACTCCCCGCTGCCACCACCCCCACCCCTGTGTGAGGTTACTGTTGGTGTGTTTAATTTCCTGTCTTGGCCTTACAGGAGATTTCTAATGTTTGGGCTGTAGGGTATGTTCTGATTAAAAATAATCCTCCCAATTACGGTCTGGCATGGGAGCCCTGTCACCCGGCTCTGCCACTGGGCTCCTTGGCGTGTCTGCCAGCAGTAATTGTGTCTGCAGAGTCCAACTGCAAATGAAAACCCAAGGGGCACGTCGGGGTCCCCCAGCTCCTGGCCCACGCCGGATCTTTTAATTTGCACTGTCTGTCAAAGGCCTGTGTGTGCGCGCAGATGAAACCCCGGGCGCTCGGACGCCAGGCCAGGCGAAGCAAGGGCACCTCACGCTTCTTGGAGAAATTGCATCTGAGCCCACGAGGGCTGGCACAGACCGGGCATGATGCTGGGGCCAAGGGGCTGCTCTTTTCTTCTTTTTTATTTCTAGTTTTAATTCCAACTTGGGCGCAACTCAGTCTGCAAAAGGGATGCTAACTCCGGGGAAACGTCAAGGTATTTATCCGATTCTATTCGCTTCAACCAACTACACAAGTCAAGGTACTGCATTCGGAGGTGCAGTGGTCTGTAGCTTTGGGGATGAAACAGATGCCCATTGGCCCGATTCATTCTTTCTCTGGGAAATGGAAACTATGTGGGGGGAGAAAGAGGTGTATACCTTCTCCTGGGACCAGTCAGGAGTCGTGCTTCACACCAGAACCAGAAGGAAAAACACACAAATATCATGTTTCCCTTGAGTGCATTCTAATTCACAGGGAGCCCTGGCTTTGCCACCTCTGGTTTCTACATGATCACATTGCTAGGCCTTTTTTGATTCCCCAGGGACCTGCAGACAGGCTCATCCCTGCAGCTTGACGGTCAGCAGCCGAGAGCCGGGACCTCTTTCGTCATCCTCAACAACTGTGATTTCCCGTCTGCCTCTATGGATGCAGGGATTTAAGAACCCGCTGGAACCGGATCTAGCAAAGCCCAGCCAGAATCGAAATCCACTCCCGGCTGATTCTAAAGCTCACACTTTTAGCCAGCATTTAGTCTTGCCCCTCAGTACATAAAATAAAGCAAGAGCGGTTGACTGGTTCCTTGTCTTGTTTTGGCTGGGGGTTGTTGGAGCTCTATGCAAAAAAAGTCTTTGTTAGCAGAGGGGGAAGCCAGGGTGAGACCCTGACCCCCAAAGTGGCTCCCCAGAAATATGCTCCTTGCCCAGCAAAACCAAGGAGCCCTGGTGGCACTGCCAGTCATTCCTGGGGCTGGGCACTGAAACGGGGTGCTTCAAACCCTCCAGCCCCTCCACAGGAGAAATAGGAGGCTGTATGCTCCTGCAGAAAAAGATATTTTGGATGGGTTTATTTTTATTATTTTTAATGTATCATCTTCCTAAACAAGGGCAAGACAAAAACAAAGGCCTATCATCCAGATGGGGAAGAGCCTTGGGGCAGGGTTTGCCAAGACAGAGCTCTGGGAAGGCTGTGGAAGGTCAAGGGAAACTCACACCGATGTGGTTGGTGGGAAGTCAGAATATCAGAGTCCCAGGTGGGGGTTCAGGAATGGGAAGGAGGCCATGCTGAGCATACGTGCGCTGTGGTAAACAGAAGCACTTCCACGACTGGTCCAGGGTCGCAGGCAGTCAGGCTGGGACTCACGGCTGAGCACATGACCCAGGGGCTGCAAGACTGGCTGCAACCCAAACAGCCATGAGGATGGCGCAGCACCAGGTGCTGTGTCACTGCTGGAGCCAACTTGCTGGTACCAACGACAGCAGCAGCAGGAGCAAGCACAACAACCCGTGCACCGACTGTAACCCTCAGAACCCCAACGGCTTGGGGCACACCTGACTCTCTCCCATGGAGGAGCCACCGATTTACTCCCCCCAAGGAAAACCCAGTCCCTAAAACAAAACTACTGCCTGGAGACGATCGCTAAAATGAAATCTTCTGACCCAAACAGTCGGCTGAAGTCTCCTTTGAATGGAAACAACAGCAATAACCAATCGTTGGTCTTAAGATGTCACTTGTGTCTGCTTGAAGCCTGGTGCACCTTCAAAGAAGGATCGATGTGACCTCAAATTGACAGCAACCTCGGGATCACACAGGCTGATATGTTGTTCCATGTGGGCTTTGTTGCTTCTGAGCTAGACAGCCACATCCAATGGGTCACTGAAGACAAATGGGTGCATAAGCAAATGTGGCAAAGAAAGCTGACGGTGCCCAGCTATC